ATGCATTATTGTGGTATAGATATTGTGGATATATTTAAGGTTTTGGTTACATAGTTTCACAATAAACTACAATACTGCAGGCTTTAGGACTGAATAGGTTTGTGACATGCATATAGACTGACATACATATGTTGTGTGAATGCCTTAGTTAATTGCCTAAAATTAAGGGTGTTTTTTTTGTTGTTATTTTTTACTTTATTATTATTTTTTTATTTAACTTCCAAGATGCATGTTATGGGGTTTTTTGGGTTTTGTGTTTGTTTTTGTCTTGCAAACCAGTTCATTTTTCTTCTAACATAGCTGAAATTCTTAGTACTAAAGATATATGGTTCTAGTGTTAATCTACCTATATGTACACCAGCATAACACAGTAACAGGTATGTTCAGCATTTAAATGTTGAATTATCCTGATTAACTCCATACTTCTAGGGTAATGTGGTCCAGATGCTGAATTGGAAGTAGCAAGGTGTAGAGACCAGACATATTTTGTCATTTATGCTGCTTACTGTAAATGGTAAGAAGTTCTGCTTCACAATTCTCCACGTGTAGGTTCCTCAGGAGATCTAAAACTTAGCAATATGAGAACAAGCTGTTTTCTGGTTTTCATGAAGACATTTAAATATTTAAATTTTAGATCTGTCTTCTATTTTTTTGAAGAAAGTTCTATGGGATTGAGTTTATTTTATCTTAAAAAAACTAAAGCAGAAAGAAAATTTGGTATAGTAGAGCCTAACTTAAAAAGTTATTTATAAAATCAGTAGCACTGAATAACTTTTAAAATGATGGTCAGGTACTTTATTAATGATATCTGAAAGCTACTCAACCATTAGTAATTAGTGTTCTTATAAGGTACACTATGATGACTTCATCACATGTTTGAGAATTTACATGATTTTTATGTAACCATAATTGAATAACCAAATTAGTCTTTTTTCTTACACTTACTTTTGGTAAATTAAATAGTAAAAAAGTTAATATGGGCATATCTAACCAGTTCTAGGGGGTATTCTGATATCTATATCTTGCTCAGCCTCAGACATGATTATATGGTCATAATTTAAGTACAAAAGAATGAATATTCAAAATCCTCAGTCATTGAAGAATTCAGTTGAGTTGTTAATTAGCCTTTTATGTTGTACTTAAAGTCATATTACAAAATATAAAGTAATACTTTTTAATTGAAATAACATTTTCTGCCCACAATTAAATTTTATCAAAAATATAAATTGTTAAATTAATGATATTTAAAGAGTAAAGACCTTAAAAATTTCAGCAAGTAGGTTTTGGGTTCTAGCTGTACTTTGAGTTGCATCCTAATTATCAAACCATGCCCACCCCAAACTCAGACCTTTTTTTGAAATCTTAAAAATTTTCTGTAGTAACAGGACCTTTACTATTTGGAAAGTATTATTATGATAAATAGAATATCTTTATAAGTTTGGTTGCTAAAATGGAACACAATATAATTATTGGCCATAGCTACCAAAAGCTCATCAGATAAAGCTATGTTCTTTTTTTAAAAAAGCAAAGTGAAGTCATATTTTACCTTTCCAATACAGTAAGTTGCTTGTAACTTCTATTAATACTAGAAAAGAATTTGTGTAGACCTGTGCTGTGGCTTATGGCAAGAAGTTTTAGAAACATGTTTTTGCTCTTTGTAATTTAGAAAGTTAGCTCTGATTCCAAAATGGGATTTGTTTTTTCATCAGGCATTTAAAAAGCCAGCTTTAATTAAAACCACCAACGAGGTAATCCATATAATTGTACTTTGTTCAGCCCTGTTGTAATATCAATGTGTCAGGTTTCAGAATTTTTAGGAGATGAAGTTCTGTTTTTGGAGTCTTATTATCCTGACCTTCATACCTTTAAGTTATTATTTCAGATCTGGGATGACTTTGGCAAGTTTGTTTTGCTGAGGTCTTTGGAATGGGGGGGAAAAACCCTTGTATTATTTGAAATGAAATTCTTTACAGATTAGGGAGTATCGGAATTAGTGTATTAACTCTTGTTAGTAATGCTTGGTGCACATTGAGTGATATTTCTCTAGAATGCTCTTACACACAAAAACTAAAGAATTGTACTTTGAGACTCGGATTAGATGATATCATGATAATGAAGAGCTATATTACTTGTTAACAGATATTTCACTTTTAAACATGATTAAAAACCCAACTACTTAGGTAAGGGCAGCTGAATATGTGCAATGCTAGTTTACCTGTAATCTTAGTATAGCATTTTTTAAAAAGATACTTGTATTTGCTTGCAATTATTACCATTAGTGAATTAAGTTAGGCTTTCCTAAGATGTCCGGAAATGAACTCCTGGTTTCCTATTTTAGAAATAAAATTCATATTATTTAAGATTAGGATTTTAGACCTTGGACTATTAGCATTTTGGACTTGGTCTTTTTTTTTTTTTTTTGTAATGGGGGAGTGCTGTCATGTGCATTGTAGGATATTAGCAATATCCCTTATGTTTATCCACTAGATGCCAGTAGGACCCCACATAACCCAGTTGTGACAACCAACATTGTCTCCATAGGTTGGCAGATGCCCCAGGTGAAGGGAGGCAAACTTTGCCTCAGTAGAGAACAACAGTTTGCCAGAAAATTTGCTTGTTTCTAGCAGCAATACCCAACTGAGAGTGTATGTAGGTATTTCTCCAGAAAAGGTAAACAGAAATCTCATGTTTACATAGGCAAAGAGTTTTCAGACAATCTTAAATGTCAGTATTTTATTTTCCTAACTATATGTACTGCTTCTAATCAACCTGTTTTCTTCTACCAATTAAAACAATCATGGCTTAGTGAAAATAGGTTTCTATTCTTATGTTCTGTCTTGAGTAAATCCTTTAACCTGGATTATAAAATGGCTTTTTGCATACTTGGTAGAAATATGATTATGAAGGGGGTTGTGAGGCAGTTCAAGTGCTTTTATATCAGTGCTTTTAACTTGTACTGCATACAAGTTTAGGAGCAGTAGCCATGAGCAACCAATGTACTTGAATTCTTCAGTGAAACCAGAGTATAATGGGTTTTCAAAATCATTAACTTTCTGTCCATGGGAACGGTTTGTCCATTAATTTACTTTATTGAACTAAAGGCTCATTTCCAATATGGACATCTTTGTTTAGCTTTATGCCAAATGATGATATTTTGTATTATAATTCCAAAATATATTTGGGAAGAATTATTAAAGTCAAGCTGACTCCAGCAGGTTTTTCTAGAATTAGTTTGTAATTGGAGACAATAAAATTATTGCCTCTGTATGAATCTTGATAGAATTTTAAAGGATGTGGTGCTGGTAGGCAGAAAAACTACCACAAATTTCCCATTTCTTGAAGTGGGACAGTGAGTAGTCCTTCAAATTTCTGAACCATGTCATGCCCATTTGAGAGAAAATGGCCTAATGAAAGATAAGTTAATTGCCTTTTACATAGTATTAATGCAAAATTGAAGCCTATTGGTCAGAAGTTTAAATATCCAGAATGCTGAGTTTGGAAATCTTGAACTTCACTACATATTCAGAAATTTTCTCTATGACTGAAAGTCTATATCCATAGTTTTAAAAAATACATTTAAAAGATTTAAATTTATTAATTTGATTCAACATCAGTTTTCCTTTAAAACAAGCCAGCAGTCATGAACAGGTTTGGCTGCTGAGATACGAGTACCACTGCTGATAGGTACGCTGCCAGAGCCCTTACAGTGCTCTACATGTAAAGACACATAAATCTAACAACTTGTGTGTGTATTT